TTCTCCATTGCTGCAAACGTCTGGATAGAGCTTACATTCTATAGGCCTCCCATTTTTGCTAATTGATATGAGTTATTTATGTAGGGGCTACACTGTAGGCATTTAGTGGTACCTGGGGCTCATTGGGTACTGTTAATACCTAATTGCAAACTCAAGAGAATGAACTGTAATCATAAAAATGAATTTGTGAAGGTCATGATTTTTTTTAAGAGGCTAGATAATACAGACTGAAAAATCTTAATCACTTAGCCAGAAGGTAGATTTTTATAGATCAACCTAGGTGTGGTCAAGTTTGAAGTGAAGCAAAAGGGAAGAGGAGGAGACAAGTCTCAAAATGGCCAATAGGAACCCCCAAGTATTTGCTGTTGTCATGTGATTTGGCTGGAGTGTTCGCTGGGGCAAAAAAGCCACTTAGGAGCCGATTTCTCCTTCTCTTTGATTTGTCCTAAACTCCTGTGTCTATTTCTGCATCTAAGACATACATTGGATGAATATTAACAAGGTAAAAATCCTGCAGTAATTTCAACTTGCATTTGCTGATGTCCTAAAATTCTCTTTTGTTTGCCAAATACGTATGTATTAGTCAAATTTACTTGTAGCTTTCTTGTAATATTGTCCCCATAAGTGGTTCACTTCTCAAACTCAACATGTCTCAGATTGAAACTTCTTCCTCAATCTGCTTCTATTCTCACCTCTCCTATTGCTTTTTATGCTGCTACTGTCCTCATCATCCCTGCTTAAAACTTAGAAGTCTTTTTTTCTCCCTTTGCACCTTCCCCATCCAGTCTGTCATTTGAACCTCCACAAAGAGTCTCTCACCTATGGATGGACCTGATCATAATGGTCTCCTGTTCAAAATCTTCAAATGACTCACTATTGCCCACAGAATGAAATGCAAATTCTCTTTACCTTATCTTGACTTTTAAGGCTCTCAGACCACCAACTGTCTTCTCAGTTTAACATTTTATCACTTACACCTGTAGATTATCACAGACCTGGAATGTTCTTCTTCCTCATCCCTACTTTTCAACACCCTTCTCTTCCATCAAGACTCAGTTCTGATGTCACCTCATCTAAAAAAGCCTTCTCTGAATAATTCAGCAAAACTATTCTCTTGAACAGATGATAAAATTTAGTTACCTCCTCTTGGTAAAGGGGTGGAGTCTCCACTGGAGAAAAAAGGGGCATATACTTTCAGAAGAGATTACTTTCAAGTTGAGCATCACTTAACGCTTTCCTTGTTATTAGGAAGGATTCAGTGGGAGAAATGGATGGGAAATAAGTTATGCCAAAAAAAAAAAGACTAAAAAAATTTAAATTAAGCATTCTTCCTCATCAAGTTTTTCTAGAGCACTTTTGAGAACTCTCCTGTCTCCATCTCTGCCCTGTATTACACTTATTTATGTACATATTGTATTCCTAACAACAATAACAACAACTTACATTTGTATAGCACTTTGAGGTTTGCAACATATTTTGTGTTTATAATCTCTCTGAGGGACAGAATTATGCTATTTTTGAAATCTTTGTGTCAACCAAAGCTTAGCCCTGCTCTTAATAACTGTCAATATTAAGTACTCTACTGGTAAACCAACTTGTAATTCTTTCATTCCTCATCAGTATTTTCTTTTTATGTCACTTTAAAAGGATGAAGATTTTATAATAAAATTTCTAATGTGATTACAATAGATCAAGATAAGATTTTATTGGTGACTAAGATATTCATGGTTTCAGCTTTAATTAAATTAAATCATTTAAAATTTATCCGGAGTCAGATATACTTCTATAGTCTTCACTCTCCTTCTAAGATGAAGACAGCTCCTGAATGACAGATATTTGTCTCATATACCTTGGCATCCCCACTCCTGTCCCACCCAGCCTAATATGGCCCATTCATTTCACATGGGGAAATATATTTTGAATGAAGTAATAAATGAATTCTTGACTTGATGACTTGACTGTTGTTCTAAAGATCTTATTGGCTCAGACTCAGAAACTACATTAAATAGATTTTTTTAAGAAGGAACTTTCCAGAACTCTACATCTCGTCTATTTCATTTAAGCAATAGCAAAACAAAAATCTACTTAACCTTCAATGTTTTTTTTCCAGAAGGAATACATTCTATTCACATTGTAGGAATATGATGCTAGTGTCTAGCTCTGTTTTGGGCACAATGCACTTAATACATATTACTGAAATGAATTGAATGAGTGACAATAAATACAGTAGGCCCATTTTAACCTGATAAACCAGTGCCATCTACTGTACGTAGTCTTTATCTTCCATTCAATAAGTAAGTCTTCTGTGAAGAAGTTCGTCATGACAGTTCTCACAACCTAGTTCAATAATCAAAGCCACACTGTACTCTCTGTCATTTTGGAATATTCATTATGTGCATCAATTAGTAACAGTATTCAAATTCTTAAAAGGAAAGTGTTAAGTTGTGTGTTTTTCTTTGTGGATGAGAGCCTGAGTTCATAAGCCTGTGAGATCTAGAGAAAAAGGGGGGAGGGAAGAGAGTAGAAAGGGGAATAAAGGGGGAAGGGAGAGATAGAGAGAAAAGAGAGGGCAAGGCAAGAGAAAAGGAAAGCATAGGATGTTCCTTTGTGAGTATTGCTGATGATTCTTGTGGCTTGAAAATAAGACTATTGTTGGTATTGGTAAAAATAAGATTAGCCCAATGTAGTCTTTACAAATCATTAAGGAGGGAAAGATTACAAATGACCTGACTCTTTATAAAGCCTAACTACTATCTATAATTTACTCAGCCAGTAAGCATTGATTAAGCTCCTACTATGCATCAGGCACTGTGCTAAGCATTAGGGATATGAAGAAAGACACAAATAGTTCCTGCTCTCAAAATGTTCACATTCTGATGGAAGAGACGAAATGCAAATACCTATGTACACACAAGATACATACTGTTAGACTCCTGCAAAGTGGAATTGCTCAGAGTTCTCTACTGTTGGCTGCTTCACTGAACTCTTAGCTGGTTATCTCAATGTGGCTCGGTAGTGAATCTAGTTTCATTCTCAGTCTAAGGCTATGCTAGACAAAATAAACTCCCAGTTCTTACCAACCTGAAGAGGCTTTGAGGATAGGACTAGAAGAGGGCTGTATAGTCTATTGTTAGCTGTCTAGCTAAGCTTGGAGTTTCACCACCAGAGATCTGGCCACCAAAGTTGTGCCAACATCAGCTAATAATTAATGACGCTGATTGCCCAGATTATGATACACAATTAAGTGGACAACCTTCTCAGTTTATATACATATGGGGCAGACAGTCCAATGGACAATGAGCTGTACCCCAAGTTAAATAGGAGGAAGAGAATGGACTGGATTGCCATCAGGACTTTATAAAACCCTTTTAATCACCCCAAACTTTCTCACAGAAACAAATGCCCATTTAGGACTAATATTTTAGAATTAAACATAATAATATATAATAATATATTAATGAATATAATAAATAAATAATTTAAGACTAATATTAATGGTGATGTATAGCTATGAGCTATATGGAATAATATGGTCTCTAAAGATTTAAAAATGAACATCCCACAGAGGGCAATGGAGACGTTCATAGTGGATAAAAGCAAGCTGCAGTGTGTAGCAAATAACTGAAGAAGAGCTAGAATGAAGGCCATCATTGGGGAAATGTATGAGTAAAAAAGATAGACTGGTCATATGGCAAAAGCAAAACTTAGCAGGTGGACTGTCTAAATGCTCTACTGGTATCCTTGCTGTGTCAAGGGAAAGAAACAAGGGCTTTCCTCCCCCATACCCTATCTTCCCAGGGAATTGGGTGGAATGTTTGTGGTAAAGTTGTATGAGGATATGGAGGAGAATCCCACTAAGTGGACAGGCAGCCAGGGCTTATAGTCTCCATCACTGTAGGAATACCCAAACCAGTGAAATCATAGATTAATTGGAATAGTTGAGGAAGTCATGAAGACAATCTATTAAAGCACGGAGGGGTTCTGAACTGCATGGGTAAAAAGTGTGACCCCACTGGTATAATCATGAATCCTTATTCAGAGAGTCATCTTATTTACTGACAGGTTTATTTCACTTTCATTATGTGAATTTCTCTCCCTTCTCTGCCATTGTTGTTTGCATGGGCCTTCAAAATAACCTCCATAATTCTGAGTTCTTCAGTAAGCCTTTTATATAATGCTCCTAAAAGTCCCTAAAATCTTTTATTTATATAGTCAGATAGCTAGGGACTTAACAGAAGTACATTTTGGACTAATTTGCAGCCTTTAATGAGATGTAAATCCCTTCAACCATTTTGGTTATCCTTATCTGGGTCCTTGTATTCCACTTAATTTGAGTTAATGAAACTGGACAAGATGAGATCGTGACTATGATACTTGAAGATTGTTTTCCTTACCCTTTTCCATCCCCTAACTGGTGAGAGACCCCTGTAAGAAGGCCTGCTTCCAGTTAACTGCCATGACACCCACGTCTTTGTCTGCTTATCATGTATCTCAGGGCCTGCCTGCATGCATAAATCATTTTCCAGCATGCATTCATCCATATTAAATTTAATTTGTCATCCTACTGTTTAATCTCTGAGTACATTAAGTGGAATGTCACATAGTCCTCCAGAATTTGTAATAACTGACACCAGGCAGAACTCTCTTTTCTAAATAAAATCTGCAATTGAGGAAAGGAGTTAGCACTTACATAATTCATTATATTTATAATTAGGAAGGAGATTAAAAACCCAAGTGTCCACATAGTGAAGAGAACATTCTTTTAACTCTTTATTGGATTTTGGTTCCTTAATTTTGCCAACAATTTGAGATCCCTCTGTTCTTCCACTTCATGAAGCATATAAAATCTTTATTTGACCTACAGGCCGAACCTTTGGGGGAGAGTTAAATATCCAATCTCTGCTTGGGAAGAGAAGTGGCCTGTGTAACGTGGGCCCCGGGATCTTTCTTCCAGTGTCCTATGCCCCAATGCCCTGTTTTGTTCTGTTGTGTTTTCTTAGAAGACTGGTATGAGCAGCTGTACCCTCTGATCCTGACCCTGAAGGACTGCATGGGTGACGTGGTGAACCGGGCAAAGCAGTCTCTGACCTTTGTGCTACTGCAGGAGCTTGCATGCAGCTTGCCCCAGTGCCTGATGCTGACGCTCCGGAGGGACGTTGTCTTCAGCCAAGCGGTAGGTGCTGTTCTGCCTTCTTCTTGGTTTTGTTGTTGACAATATTAATATTCCCAAGAGCTGGGCAATGGTGCCTGATTCATTTTTAAAAGTCATCTAACTTTAGCATTCAATTTCTGATCTCTTTTCATTTTACATATGCATGTCTGTGCTTGCTCTTCCATTCCATGGAAGGGACTTCTAGAATTTCCAGAAAGTTCTGTCTCTGAGGGCTGAGTTCTTAGAGTCCTTTCATTCCCAAAGAGTCTCTTAATCGATTTTAGGAGTCCATTAATTTGGGAGGGGGAAAATATGTATCTGTATTTAAGATCTAATTAAAATGTATCATTTTGGCACAATCAAAATGGCAGAGCTAAAACAACATTTCACAGAGCTCTCCCAATACACCCTCTCCAAAACAACCTAAAAATTGCATCAAACCAAGTTCTGGTCAGGAAGGCCAATTAAAAGTCAAAGTGAATCATTTTTCCAGCTCAAGGCAGCTTAGGAAGACAGAAAAATAGGACTTTGGACAGTAGGACAGATGTTTACCAGAAGTACACGTAGCAGAAGTGGCACCAGTAGTGGTGGTAACCCTGGGCAGTGGCAGCAATTGCAGTGAATGGCCCAGTGCCCACAGACAGCATGGGAACTGAACATCTGATCAGAAAGAGATCCTAGCAACACCTATGCTAGGACCGGGCTCAGGGTCAGGTGCTGTTTGGCAATTTTGTCACCCATTACCCATTTCTAGGTCAGGGAGGAGTAGGCATGGGTGAAAGGGAATAGGGATCCTAGCTATGTGAGGACCGGAGCACAGATGAGGAAGACAGTGACCAGACCTCCCCACAGCACACTATGCTGGAAGTACCAAAAACTCACAGGTCCCACTAAACTATAAAAGCAGCAGGAGGACATAAGAGTCAGAAGCTCAAATCAGACACCCCCCCATTTGCAGAGGTGAGCAGAGCCCAAATATATGTTGTTAGAACTATATAGTTATAACATATTGTTCAAAGTCAAGCAATAGGGTGGAAAATGATCAAACAAAACAAAACAAAACATGACCATAAAAATCTTCTTTGGTGATAGGGAAGCTCAAGACAAACTCAGAAAAAGACAATGACTTGAAAACATCTATAAGCAAAACCTCAGAGAAAAATGCAGAGTGAATACCACCCCAACCTAGAAGAACTAAAGAAAGAGATTTTTAAAAGAGAAAAAAAAATTTGGTTTTAAGATTAAATAAGAGTGGCAGAAGAAAAATTGGGAAAACGAATTATAACTATGTGAGAAAATAATGAAAAGAAAATAAACAGCTTGGTAAAAGAGGCAGAAAAATACTGAAGAAAATAAATCCTTACAAATCAGAATTGGTCAAATGGCAAGAAGTAGTAAATCTCACTGAAGAAAATAACTCCTTAAAAGTTAGAATGAAAAAAGCTAATGACTCCATGAGACATCAGAAAGCAATAAAAGAAAGTCAAAAGACTGGAAAAAATGGAAAATTTGAAATATCTCATAGGACAAACAATTGATTTGGAAAAAATAGATTGAAGAGAGATCATGTAATAATTATTAGCCCACCTGAGAGTCATGATAAAAAAATGACTAGACATCATATTTCAAAAAGTTATTAAACAAAACTGTTCAGATATCTTAGAATCAAAAGGCAAAGTAGACTTTGAAAGAATGCACCAGTGACCTCCTGAAAGAGATCCCAAAATAATGAAAACTCCCAGGAGTGTTATAGCCAAAATCCAGAGCTCTCAACTTAAGGAGAAAATACTCAAGAAGACAGAAGGAAATAAAGCAAATACTGTAGAGCCATAGTCAGCAACACACAAGATTTAGCAGCTACCAAAATAGAGTATAGTATTTAGAATACGATATAGCCTACCTAGGAAAACAGAGAATAATTCTACAGGGGAAAAACAAATATTTAATGAAATAGAAGACTTTCAGGTATTCCAGATGAAAAGACAAGAGTCAATAGAAAATTTCTAACATTCAAACCCAAGATTTAAGAGAAACGTAAAAAAGTAAACATGAGTTAGAGGTAATAAGAGACTTAGCAAGGTTAAACTATTTACATTTCTATATGGGAAGATGATGTTTGTAACCACTAAGAAGTTTTTCATCACTGGGGCACTTAGAAGGAATTTACTTAGACTGAGAGTATGGATATAAGCCTATTATATTGAGATAATCTTAAAAGAAGAATTGAAAGCTGAGAAAGAGGATGGAAGAGAGATAAAGAATGGGGAAAATTAACTCGTATCAATGAGGCATACAAGGAAAAGTTTATACAGTGGAAGGCAAAATGGAGAAGTAGACAACACTTGAACCTCACTCTCATCAGAACTGGTTCATGCAGGGAAGAATATACATACATATATGCATATACATATACAGGCACATATGTATTAAGTATTTATGTATGTATTCATACACACATGAAGTGTTATAGAAATCATCTTAATAGGGAAGTAGGCAGAGAAGAGACTAAGGAAAGGGAGGGTAGTAACAGGGAAGTTAGAGTAAGGAAGACAGTAGTCAGAAGCAAAATAAACTTTTGAAGAAGGGACATGATAAAAATGGAGCAAGATACATAGAAAAAATAGATGGAAGGAAATACAAAGTTATCAATCATATCTGTGTATGTGAATGGGATAAATTCACCCATAAAAGAGAAGCACATAGCAGTATGTATTAGAAATCAGAATCCAACAATGTATTTTTTACAAGAGACACACTTGAAACAGAAAGACACACAAAGATTTAAAATGAAGGGCTAGAACAGAATCTATTATATTTCAGCTAAGTTAAAAAAGGCAGGGATAATTATCATGACATCAGACAAAGTAAAGAAACAATAATATTATTGAAGATAATGACAGTAATGAAATAGGGACAGCTAGGTGGCACAATATATAGAGTGCTGGGCCTAAAGTCAGGAGACTCATCTTAGTGAATTCAAATCTGGCCTCAGATGCTTACTAGCTGTGTGACCCTGGGCAAGTTCCTTAATCCTGTTTGCCTCAGTTCCTTATCTGTAGAATGAACTGGAGAAGGAAATGGCAAATCACCCCAATATCTTTGCCAAGTAAACCCCAAATGAGGTCATGAAGAGTCAGACATGATTAAAATAACTGAATACCCACAATGAGACAACATACCAAACTTCAAAGCAATACTTAGGGGGAAATTTATATCTCTAAGCATCTATATCAACAAAAAAGAGAACAGATATTTAATGACACAAATATGATTTAGATACCTAAACCACAGAGAGCAAAAATAGAAGCTGGAAGCCAATCTCCCTAATGAATATTGTTGCAAAAAAATAAATAAAATACTAGCAAGGAGATTATAGGAATTTATCACAACGATCATGAACTATGACTAGACTGGACTGATACCAGGAATGCAGGACTGGTTCAGTATTATGAAAACTGCAATTACAATTGACCATCTAAATAACAAAAATAGCAAAATAAAAAGTCATCATTACATCAATAGATGCAGTAAAAGCTTTTGACAAAATACAATGCTCATTTCTAATAGAAAGAATAGAAAGCATAGGAAGAAATGGAACATTTCTTAAAATAATGAGTAGTACTCACCTAAAACCAAGAGCAAACATAATCTGTAATGTAAATAAACTAGAAGCCTTTCCAACAAGATATTGGGTGAAACAAGGATGTCCATTATCAGTATGGTACTCAAAATGCTAGCTATATATAATAGCTATAAATAGCAGTTATAGACAAGAAAAAAGAAATCGAAGGAATAAAAATTGGCAAACAGAAAACAAAACTATCACTCTTTCCAGATGATATGATGGTTTATTTAGAAGACCCTTGTTGGAACAGTTAACAACCTTAGCAAAGTAGCAGGATCTAAAATAATACCACATAAATCATCAACATTTTGACAAATTACCAACAAAATCTAGCAGGAAGAAATAAAAAGAGAAATTCCATTTGAAATAACTGTAGGCAATATAAAATACTTGGGAGTCTACCTTCCAAGACACATGGGAATTATATGAACACAAATACAAAACACTCTTCAACAAATCTAAATAATTGGATAAATATTAATTGCTCACAGGTGGGCTGAGCCAATATAATAAAAAATGCCAATACTACCTAAATTAATTTACTTACTCAGTATTCCAAACAAACAACCAAAGAATTACTTCATAGAGCTAGGAAAATAAATCATCTGGAGGAACACAAGGTCAAGAATATAAAGGGAATCAATAAAAAAATCTGAAGGAAGAGAGCCTAGCAGATTTCCAACTATTACAAAGTGTAATAATCATCAAAACAGTTTGGTACTGAATGAGAAATAGAGTGTTTGAGCAATAGAATAGGTTAGGTATACAATATATAGAAGGAAATGAGTACAGTAACCTCATGTTTGATAAACCTAAAGATCTTAGCTATTGGGGCAAGAACTCACTCTTTGAGAAAAACTGTTGGGGAAAATGGAAAGCAGTTCAATAGAAACTAGAAGTAGACCAACACCTCACATTGTGTACCAAAAAAGCTCAAAATGGGTATGTGATTTTTACATATGCAGAGTGCTATATGCAAATTAGAGGAACAAGAGAAAAAAAATTGCCTGCTACATCTATGTGTGGGGCAAGAGTTCCTGACCAAACTAGTCATAAAGAGGATCATAGGAGGTAAAATGGTTAATATTGATTATATAAAATTAAAAAGTTTTTGCACAAAGATATCCAATACAACGAAAATTAGAAGAAAAACAGGAAACTAGGGGGAAGAACTTATAACAAATTTTTCTGATAAAGGTCTCATTGCTTAAATATAGAGGAGACTGAGCTATACTTATAAAAATAAAAACCATTTCCCAATTGATAAATGGTCAAAGGATATGAACAGGGATTTTTTAAAAGAAGAAATCAAAGCTTTCAATAGTCATATAAAAAAGCTCTAAATCACTAATAATTAGATTAATACTAATTAGACTGAGGTGTCACTTCACATGCATTAGATTGACTAAGATGACTGAAAAGGAATGTGCCAAATGCTAGAGGAGATGTGGGGAAATAGGTAAAATAATGTATTGTTGGGGAGCTGTGAATTTGTCCAAATATTCTGGAGAACAATTTAGAACCAAGCCCAAAGGGCCAGAAATCTGCATACCCTTTGACCCAGTAATACCACTACTTGGTCTGTGTCCCAAAGAGATCAAAGAAAAAGGGAAAAGACCTATATGTAAAAAATATATTTATATCAGTCATCCTTTTTGTGGTGGCAAAGAATTGGTGACTAAAGGGATGCCCATCACCTAAGGAATGGCTGAATAAGCTATATGAATGTAATGTAATACTCTCATGTTATAAGAAATAATAAAGGGGTTGATTTCAGAAAAACCTGGGAAGACATTGACAAACCGTTGCAAAGTGAGCAGAATATGGAGACAGATCTACAGAGTAGCAATATTGTAAAGATTATCAACTGTGATAGAATGAATAACTGATCAATATAAGTATTCACCACAACTCCAAAGGGCTCATGATGAAAAACAGTACCCACCCACAGATAGAAAACAGACTCAGATTGTAGATTTAAGCATATTATTTTTCCTTTATTTTCTTATTTTATTTTTTTCCCTTGGAACATGGCTAATGCAGAAGTATATTTTGCAAGACTTCACATACATGAAATGGATATTGTGTTTCTTGCCTTTTCAGCAGGTGAGGAAGAGGGGGAAAAAGAGAAAGAATGTGGAATTAAAAATAAATTAAAAATTAAAAATAATAACATGCAGTATTTCCTTCCATTATAAAATAAAATCAGTCTAAGAAGTTGTTCATGGGATTTAACCCGCCAAAGAGGTCTATGATACCAAAAAAAAAAAAGTTAAAAATCTCTGACAGAAAGAAGAAACTACATCTCTTAGTTTCTTTCCAGTCCATAGCAAATAGAACATCCCCAGGATAAGTTATCTGCAATTCATATCAGACTGATACTACTTTTTTTTTTTAGACTTCAGATGGCTAGACTACAAATTTATTGATGGGAATTACGTTATAGTGAGCACATGAGTTTGAAAGGAGAAACACGGGAAATCTCTTCCCTTTCCAACTGAGGGAGCTCTATTTCCATGAAAGACACAGGTCCTCTCAATGTAGCATTATAAAATATACCAGTGGCCTGGATAACATCCATCTGGGGTACCAGCTTAGTTTATATGACAAGAACAAAATATTCTATATTAATTAATTATAGTTCATCTTTTTTTTTTGGTACATTCCTGTTAAATCATCATTCTAGGAACTCTTGGTGCAGAAATTCCTTCCATGGATGCAGACTGGCAACTGACCTGCAACGTAGAGTCTTTGAGATTTGCTCAAGGCATTTGGAGAGTTAAATGATTAGGCCATAGTGACATAATTTGTATGTGTCAGAGCCAGGATTTGAATTTAGGATCCCAGACCTTCAGGCTGAGTGAGACTCCATTCTCCATGAAACACTGCGACTTTTTATATTTATAAGGATGTGCATATATAGACATACAACACAGAGGTTGTCTGGGGAGGTGTGGCCTAATTATGGTGACCTGTCAGCCTGAGAAAACTCATCATTGAAGCTTAGAGGCTCGCAGTTGACTAGGATCAGTTGGCAGAAAAGGTTAGAAAAAAAGAAAAAAAATCTTTCTTTCCTTCACACTTCCCTGGACTTCTTTTATAATATTAACACTAGCTTCTAGGTTCATTAAGAAGGAAGAAATCATTGAAATTTTAAAAGACCTTTAATTAATCTATTGTCCTTCATGTTTTCTTTCACCCAATGGTTTTAAGGTTTGACCAGAAGGAATTAGAGGATCATAAATCCTAAGATAGAAGGTACTTGCCATCTCATCTAGTCAACCGCCTTCACTGTACAGATGAGAATAATGAAGCCAAGATATGTGAAGTGATTTACACAAGGTCATAACCATAGACTAAAGCTGAGTCATTATTGTTGTTTGTCCTTCATTCACAAATAAGACCATGACATCAGGGAGAAGATACCAGGACATGCAAGTGAACTGGATTTAAGTGAGGGAGAGATTTGCAAAGTCACCAGCCTCACTTTCTCCTTTAGAGACATCTGGGTCCAGTGGTCAAGATATAGATCAGGATGACTGGAGATGGCCCTGGATGCAGTGGGAGACCTTGGCCTTTTTAAACTAAGGTCTTTAACAGGTCTCATTTTGACTGAGGCAATGCCCATTCAGTGACTAAGGCTAGGTAAGGAATGAAGCAGAGAATGGATCCAAGGTACTCTCTACTGTTCGATAGTGGGTGAAAGAAGATTGAGAATTCCTCTTACAATACCTCTAGTTGGCTAGAATGCAGAAAAATGGAGTAAAGAGGCAAAGTGAAAAGAGATCATCCAAATGACCTCATTGTCTTCAATGGTTCTGCCATTGCCCACCGTCTTCCATGAAAATGCTCTCCTGGTAGCTCCCTTCCATGTGCCGAAGATTGCCTTTAATAAGTATACACCTATGGTGTACATATATATATGCATATACATGCAAATACATATAGTGTATGAATATGTGTGTATGTGTGGTTTGTATATAGTTATGTAAATTGTAGTACAAATTCCAAAGATATAGTTTCATTAAATAATATTAATCTTATAATCATTTTCACTCAGACCCACGAAGACCTAACTTTCTTGAAATATTTAAAAATTAAGCTAACAGGCCTGTTCGAGTATATTTATCCCATCCTGTTTTTAGCTTGCAGGATTGGTCTGTGGATTTATAATGAAATTACACTCAAGTTTTCACGATCCTGATTTCCTCCAGCAACTTCACACTGTGGGCTTGGTTGTACAGTTTGAAGGACTACTGAGCACGTATAGTAAGTATTATTCCCTTTATGAACAAGCCACTGGACACATGAATGTTTACCCAGAAGACTTTTAGGATCGACATGAAACACTAGGAATTTACTTTTTTGACTTAATAAGTCCTACAGAGACAACAGACAACTTTTAAAGTAGAATTGCCCATCTAGGACTATGCTACAATGAAACCTTTCATACTCAGATGTTTGTATTGAAAGTGTAATTGTAGTGAATTTTAATATAGAACTCTGAACTTGTCATCTTTAAATGTAGGAGAGTTATATTGCCATTTAATTTTAAAGACCACCATCCATTCAGAGTTTAGGGCACACAAGCCTTTTTCCCATGATGCTTTCCCAATTAGGGCAGTGGGGTAAAAAGATAGCATAGTTCCAGCACCAGGAGTTTCTAATCTAGCCACTTTTGGCATTGATGGAAAACAAATATCAGCCCTACCAACATCAAAAAGGCTTTTCTTTCACGAACATAGTTAAAATTCCTTCCAGCCTCTAAGTAAGTATGTGCCAGTTTCCTTCCCTCTAAGAGAACTTTTACTGTTGGAGTCTGACAAAATCATACTTGTTTCAGCCCTGAAAGCCATCAGGTCCAAGGGAAAAAGCTTTTCAAATGGAATCACTGTACTTGGTATTATTTACTCAAGCGCCTAGAGCCAGTTCCGTCATGGCAGATAATCTCCAGTGACATTTTTGTCAAATGACTTGTTTGTAATGAGAGGCCTTTTCCCTGTTCAGGTGAAGAAATTGGAATGCTGGAGGATATGGCTATTGGCATTTCAGATTTGCAGAAAGTAACATTTAAAATAACTGAAGCCAAATCCAATGATTTCTTGCCAGTTGTAACCGGAAGGCGGTAAGTGGTGACCATTTTCTAAGCATTAAGTTCTGTTGGACCCATAGGATTACCTTCTTGCAGAAAAGCTGATGATGTCATAGATTTAAAGCTGGAAAGGAGGTTCAAGTTCTTCAAGTCCGATCCCAATCATTTTATAGATGAGGAAATTGAGGCCCATAGAGCTGATGACTTGACAGGGGCTACATAGACAAGCATCTTGGGAAGAACTTGAATCCATGTCTCCTGGACTCCAAGTTCAATTCCATATAAATTATACCATACTACTTCTCCAGTAGGTGTGAATGGAAGTAAAAGGGCTTTTTTTTTGGCTTCTATTGCACCATTTTGATGCAAAATACTATTGATTATATGGATAAAAATAACACTGAGCAAAACTCAAATGCCAGAGGGGCAAATCAGCAACAACCAGAAATTGCGCAAAAAGCAAACTTGGCCCTGGCATCATGGACCATGTCATCAAGTCAAGTCAACAAACATTCAGTAAACACTTTTTTGTGCACTAGGTGCTGTGCAAGAAAGACAGCCTCTGCCCTCAATAAGCTTGCATTCTAATAGGTGAAGGCAACACACAAAAAGAAGCTGAAAATTAAAGGGTTAGGCAAGAAAAGATAAAGTTACCTCACAACAGAGCACAGTAAAAGTCCAGAGTTAGGAGTTCATTGTGGGCAGCAATGAAGGCAAGGCCGGCCTTGGGGTCCTCCTTTAAATGAAGGTTTTGGGAGGAACCAGCCAATCAGAGGGACAGGCCAAAGGAGCTAAAGGGAATTCCAAAGTAAGAAGTCCATGTGTACAGAGCTTCCAGGATGAATGCTTAATAATGGTTCTAACAATTAGAGCCACACAAAAGTCAAATAGGCTGCCTCAGATCGTTGGTTTCCTTCCCACTGGAAGTATACTCTTGGCAAAAGGTAATTGACCACTTGTAGTGTAGACTAGGGATTCTTTTTATTTGTGGGTGCGAGATAACCCTTGCGCTCTCTTCTGACTCTGAAATTCCCTAACTCTGTAAATATTTGTAGATCTGCTATTGCACTGAATACGTCAATGCTTCCATGAAATATGGGGAATTTTAAAAGATTTCATGACTGTGACTCTTTTTTTTCCTTTTTATTAGGATCCAAACTAAACCACCAAGTGTTTTCACTTTTTGCGGGAATCGTTTCCTTAATAGCGTCATAATTCTTGAGATGACTGTAAATTAAATTCAGCTAAAAGCAGCAACATTTTAGAAAAAAAAAGATGTATTTCCTCTGTCAGGGGTATATACCTCCCAGATTGTGAGCCTTCCGAGAAGGGTTGGAAATAAATAGCCTAGAAGGTCAGAGCATGATGGGCAAAATATCAGGAATAATTAAGAAAAATGATGGCATTGTAGAGTAGTCCTCAAAGAGAAGAAAAGCATTGCTTTGTAAATCATTTCAGTCAGAAAGGCCCCGATACAACTGCTGCTTTTCATTGGCTTTTAATTTCTCCCTTTGTAAAGGCACTGGAAGAAGTCTAGTTAAATGTAGGCCAAGGTCCCTGGAAACACTGTGACTGGAAGGAAGACAGGAAGAATCCTCAGAAAACCCCTTCTCACTTTACTTCCTCTTGATTAAGGGAAGATAACATGAGATTCCATGTCAAAGCTTAAAAAGAAACTATTATCCCCTACATGACCTCATTAAAAAAAAATAAGTCTGTGCTTATTTCTGAGTAGGCAAGATGCTGAATTGCTGTCTAATTAAAGGCATCCAGAGGCCAAATCCAAGATCACTGGGAAAGATAAAAGGAACCCTGAATCTCATTCACAAAAATCACATGGACCATTTTATTTTTAACCATTGCTATTTCTTTTAATAAAACTGTGAAAAGATCACATATTGCTACCAGTCAGTACCAACCCATGAAGTGCTTATTAGCACAAAGAAAAATCATGTTACCTTCATATTCAGCACAGAGTAACTTTCTGGGGGAAATTGAAGAAACCTTCGTGTGGGAAGAGGTTCAAGTATGTCTAGTATTTTTGTTTTTCACTCAGTCATGTAAATCCGTGGAGAAATAGCACAATATCTTTCATCTGAAGAGCACTATATAAACATGGAGTCATTGATGAGGAGCAAAGTAGCCTAACCGAATAGAGGTCTTGGATCTAAAATCTAGATGACTTGGGTTCAGTCTTTACCTCTGACACTTCACTTTTTGAGCGTGTTTCCCTACCTGTGAAATGGGGATAATGATATATATATCAATCTACTACCCAGTATGTAAAGTATTTTGAAAACATTTTAATGCTAATCATAAATGCCAGCTGTTTTCCCCATATGCCTTCCTAAGAGGTAGGTAAATAGCCAGCTTTCTATTACCAAGGCCAGTAAAAACAAGGATGACAACCACAGATAAATGGTGCCTGTAGGAGAAATCCTGATACTGTTCCTCATCACTGAGTTCATAGCAGTTCAAAATGTCCATAGGGCACAGCTCCCTGGTCACATGCAGATAGCTACATGGTGGCAATATCCTAACGTCCATGCTTACAGTGAAAGAAATTAAGGGGGAAAAGGAGCTGACAAGACAAAGGAACTGCCTATTTGTCTTAGATTGTAACTTTTGTTGCCCCCAGACATATAATAAGACTTCAGTATTACCTTATTCTTAGACTATTTCACCATAGTTTACCTTAAACCCAAGTTAACTGCCTCCATTTTCATAGCTAATGACAACCAGACTCCCCTACTCCACAAATCTTGAAAACACAACACAAAACTTTTGGCTTGGTCCAGTGATTAGCATACTGGCCGGCAAATAGTAGGTACTTATTGATATGTATATGCTTGTTGACTTGGTTTAGTTTTCACTGTGGGAACAAAGCTGTTGTTATTGGCTCTTGCCATCTATGACCTTGGGAAGTTCAGCTCACCTCACTTAGCCTCGATTTCCTCCTTGGTGCAATGAAGGGGTAAGACTAGAGATCACCTCTAAGTTTACTTCCATCTCTAAATCAGGAATCCTAGGATCCGTTGATCCTTTAGCGAATTTTGTTTTCATATTTTTATATGAATGGTTTGCCCACCAGACTGCGTAAAGATTATAGGATATAATTGGATACATAATTGCATAAAGATTTTAGGATATCATCGGCTCTCTCCCCCAATAAGCCAATAAGAAGGAACTCCTCATTCCGCTCACTTTTAAATTACATTCTAAAGGGATAACTTGCCTTTTTTCATAGAACATACAGGATGTGAAACTCTTCTCCCCTCCTTAGTTTATTTGTTTGTTTGTTTTGCTCCAGAGAACATTATGTAATAGAGGTCAAGCTTCCAACCAGATGTTTGAGTTGCTGCCACTAGAGATTAAAGAAGGGAAGCTGTTACATGTATACCCAGTCCTCTTTAATGTTGGAATCAATGAACAGCAAACTTTGGCAGAGAGGTAAGTCTGCAGTGGAATTCATGCTACCGTTTCCCTGTGATGTGCTGTAAAGTCCCAGATGGTTACACATCTGGGACTTGGTTGGAATCAGGCTCAACATTTTACCTTCTATCAATCCTAATTTGTTAAGCAAGGGGAAAACATCAGATTGAAGGAAGCCAGTTCCAGACTCAACCAAAATATATGATAAACCAAAGAAAATATGAATAGATATGTTGAAATACATTTGACTGAACAATCTGGTTTTACAAAATAAAAATTGAGTTCAGTAAGATTGGTGTGAAGTAACTGATGCATAAAAATACTGTGTCAATGAGAAGCACTCTCAACTGGTCATTTTCAGTTGAGCAATTCCAAATCAAATGTTTTATTTCACTGTAATCAAATGTTATATCCACCACTGTGTGAACTCAGTCAATAATTAATAAACATTTGTTAATTATATATTATTAGTTAATACATATTAATTAATTATTATTACTATATGCGAAACACTACTATGCATTTGAGATAGAAATATAAAAAAGACAGTTCCTGTTCTCAAAGAGTTTATAATCTAATTGGGGAAGACAATGCCTAAAAGGAAGCTGAAAGGAGCTATGGGGTAGAGAGGAATGTATTTGGTCCAGATGTGACGGGGAAGTCAGAGATATCCCAGAGTAGTGCAGCCGCCAGAAATGAAGAGATGCTCTGAGCTATGCTCCTTCCTTAAGTGAAGGTTTCGGAATTCATCACTCTACCTCTCAGTCAGAGGAGTAGAAGGAAGTGATGAGGTGGAGTGCTAACTTCATTTTTTTCTGTCTGGGAAAGGTTAGCAGCACTGAGGAACTGTCAGCAGCTGAAGCTCCAGCAGAAGATAAACAGGCTAGCCTTGTGCCTTACAGTGGTGCTTAATAGAGCAGTCATATCTTGCTGCTGAAACTTACCAGCTATGTGACCCTGGGCAAGTCACTTAACCTCTCTTTGCCTCAGTTTCCTCATCTGCAAATTGGTGATAATATCTACCCCCCCCAGGGTTATTGCGAGAATCAAGTGAGATAATAATTGGTTTTTTTTAAGGCAATTGGGGTTAAGTGACTTGCCCAGGGTCACACAGCTAGTGTCAAGTGTTTGGTCTGAGGCTGGATTTGAACTCAGGTCCTCCTGACTTCAGGGCCAGTGCTCTATCTACTGCGCCACCTAGCTGCCCCCAAGTGAGATAATAATTGTAAAGCATTTAGCACAGTGTCTGGCACATAGTAAGTGCTATATAAATGTTAGCTATTAATATTATTGTTGTTCTTAAAAAATATTAATTACATCATGTGAGTCAGGTGGTAGTATACCTTTTAGAAGAGCTTAAGACTGGCCCCCCAGTTCCTTATATGTTCGTTGATATAAGAAAATATTTACTTTTTGTGACCTTTGAATCCTAATGCTTCTATATTGTCAACCGTGGACATGTATGTAGCCTGCCATCCCCACCTGCTTTTTGCATGGTAATAACTGACATTCTGCTTGCTTCTAGACCTTCAACACCAAATTTGGTCTTGTCACTTTCCTACCCTTACCCCCAACTTCATGGTTAATCTTGTCCTTGATTCCCACCCTATCCAAGCCTAGCTCGAACCCCACAAACTATCTTTGTTTATTTTCACCATGGTTGCAAGACAAAAACAATCCTTTAAATGTGTTAATATTGGCCAAATATAACAAAGAGCTTCTGCTCATATTTTTTAAATAAGCAAACCATTAGGTTTCTAAAAGAAAGCCAAAATAAATAGGAAGATTGGCCAATAATAGCTACATTTAGATCTACGGTTTGGGATTGCCTTTCTTAAACATAATTAGTTCTCTTATGTGTTCAGAATAAAATCTGGACTTATTAGCAACCTGCTCTTTCTCCTATATGCTGCCTAAGACCTACCTCATAGCACTTAGTATCATTACTGAATTAATTTTCAGAAGTAGAATCGAGAATACATGGAAGAATTTTACGTGTCACAGCCATCGATTAGTATGCTCTAACCCTCTGTGCTTAGGGTGTTTGTCCTTCATATCCTTATAGGGAAATTTTTAGTTAAAATGATTTTAAAAAGGAGTCAGACAATTGCTGTATAAATAAAGTTTAGAGTTAAGAGTACTGAAGATTATTCCAATGTGAATCAATTGCAATAAGAATAAATGGCAGGTTTTATAGCACATTGTAGTGCCTTGTAATCAGTCAAAAATATGATTCAATGGGACCAGTAAGGCCATTGTCAAAACTGTATTTCAATAGAAGTAATCTCCTTTTGTTGTCTTGTATGTTTTATTAACTTAAAAACATTATCCTGAGAAGGGGTCCACAGGCTTTCCAGATTGAGGAAAAGAGACCCATGACACAGGAATGATTAAAAATCCTTGATTTGGAGAACACAGACTTTTACTTGCCCTAAACATTTATTTTCTTTCTTTTTTTCTACTTTCTATCATAAAGTTTATTTTCTTAATAAACAAATACATTTAAAAAAATAATTGCCTAATCTTGAGTCCTCAATGTCTATATATTTCCTCCTACAGGATATTTCACTGTATCTGGAATTTCCTTTATTCTAAACATAGAAAAGCAAAGTTAATTAACTATATGGGTATCATTGTATATAAAATATATATATTTTTAAATATCTAAACATTTATTTTCAAATGTCTCCATGCTAGTCAATTCAATTCACGTCCACAAGAATTTATTAACTGTCTGCTATGAGCAGGACACTATTCCTGGCACTGGGACTACAAAGGAAAAAACAAAACATAGTATTTGTTTTCGAAGGAACTGGCATTCTACTGTGATGTTAGCAAGGTTGTTTTATTTTTTTCCCATAAAGCTGAGGCATTACCAGATATGGATGACTTTTTGTGACTTTTACCTTAATTTGACTTTGTTTGGCAAAAGGCCTTCCTTCCATGGTTGCTTTTGTATGACAATGTTTTCATGTGATCCAGTCACAATTGTCGATGAGAGGACTATGAGACTGGCAGAAGGGATGGATGCTTTGCACCATACATGCATATGAACTACTATACTATAAGAAGTAGAAAGAGACATAAGTAGTTATCAGAGTATGAAACCTAGAGTAAAAACAGAATAGTTGTGGCACAAAGGGACACACAGGAGCCAGAATCAAGATCTACAGACCACTGGAATTCACTGGATTCCGCAGACAGTAGCAAAAGTTGGATTGAAAGTAAAGTGTGAGGGGCAGCTAGGTGATGCAGTGGATAGAGCACTGGCCCTGAAGTCAGGAGGACCTGAGTTCAAATCCGGCCTCAGACACATAGCACTCACTAGCTGTGTGACCCTGGGCAAGTCATTTAACCCAAATTGCCTAAAAAAGAAGAAAGTAAAGTGTGAGGAGAATCCAAAGTTTCAGAGGAAGATAAGGAAGAGCAAACCAAGGCATGCAAATTTGTTGTGCTTACTAGATGTTCCTAGGAATTGCTATTTTATAGAAATTTTGATCTCCAATTCTGCCTATTTAAAGGGGCCTTGCTTATAATATCAACAGTGAGTGGATGCCTTATTATTTTTTTTCTTTCTCCCACTCTCTTTCTGAGTTAGAACATTCTTCCCAGACAATCTGATTTTTCATACTTCTGACATGTCCAATATTAACTATTGTTTTATGGTGCATTATATTGAGTTTTGGTTCTAGCTTTAGCTTTTTAAATGTAGAAGTCAATATCTAACCTGCCCAGCTGCACAGCCGTGGAATGATATTATATAATTATGTTATTAGATTATGGATAATATATTACACCAACTCTGATTGATGATAAAGTCCTGGATTTGGAAATAGTATAGAAGGCATGGTTTCAAATACAAACTTTCCTACATACTAGCTTTTTGATATAGGACAAATCATTTCCCTGCTCTGGGACTCAGTTCTTTATCTGTAAAATGATAGCATTGGATGAGATGTCCTCTAAGCCCCTGTCTGTCTCTAAATTTAGTGACCCTATACCTCATATCTGTGCCCCTACCTCCTCTCAGGTGTATCTTGCTAGATACAAAGGGTTTGTTTTTTTCATCACTTTGTACATTGAACCTGAGTTGGATGGCCATGACTTGGAAGGAAAGAGAATGGAAATAAATCAAAAGATATGGATTTTAGTTCTGTGTCTGTCCCTAATTAACTTAGTGGCCTTAGTCAATGAGGTACCCCCAGCATGTAAAGACTTCCTCCAGCAGAATGGGTGGATGAGAACAATTTGTTCCGATGGCCATTAAGGTAGCTGAAGCAGGTATATTGGACCACTATGAAACATACAAGACATCAAGGTCATTCAGTGCATCCTGGGCCATTGTCAGTTGTCCTGGCTTTTGTCTTGCCACTGGACTTCAATGACTCCGGAAGAGAGAGTGGGGGTGTTAATAACTTTGTGCAACTCTGTCTCACTTAAATCCAATTCATTGGCAAGTCAGGACATCACTCCTGATATCACAGGTCCTCTTCAAAAACAAAGGAGAAACAACAATGACAACAACAACCTTAGTCAAGTATTAACTGCTCTGGGTTTCGGCTTTCATATCCTTAAAGGAGGGGGTTGATCAGATGACCTCTTAGCTTGAAAATTCTATGATTTTTACATTTTTTCCAGTCATTATCTACAAGGTTGTTGACATATCTAAATGAAATAAGAATAAGAACAAGAACACTTATGTAGTGATTTAAGATTCACAAAGCACTTCATAAATATTGTCTTATTTGAACCTCACAACAATACTATGAAATAGGCACTCTTACTATAAGGAAACTGAGGCACAAAGATGAGAAATTATTTGCCCCAGATCACATAGTTAATATATAGAAGAGTTAGAATTTGAAATTATGCCTTCTGTCTTCAAGACTATGGTCCTTCAGACAATCAAAGTTGGTGCAATATATTACCAATAACATAGTTATAATTACATACCTATAATTAGATATATATGATAATTAACCTATAATTAAAGATGAAGAAACCGAGATGAAAAGAGATTATGTTATTTGCCTGGAGTCACACAGGTAGTAAGTATCTTTATCTCAGGAATCTTTCAGATTCCAAGGTTAGCACTCTATCCACTAAACTGTCTAGCTGCCTCAAATAGAGCTATCTTGCCTGAACACAACTTGTACATATTTGATCCCATCTTTGAAACAGTTACAGATAATAACTGGTGGTGAAGAAAGTAATCATAGCATAGTGGCAAGATACTTTTATGATAATTTAATCATCCAAATGAGTCAGAAGAGTGCCCTTCCTTCAAATCATATCTTGTTCAATTATACAACTCCCATGGGATGTATTGTGGGGAAAGCAGGCCTTTTGGCATCAAAGCCAAAACAAGACAGATCCATATCAACACATCTGTGTACTAAACACCACAAGGAAAATGAATGAAAAAGAAAATCATCAAATGGCAAATTTTTGTGGAAGGTTTTTTTTTTTTTAATCAGTAACAAGATGAAAAATATTATCTTAGGAAGGGAAATCTGACAGTGGAATAGTAAATGGGCGGAGAGCAGAAGGAGTATAAGAGACAATAAATAGTAGGAAAAGTTGGTATTATTTGGTTACTGATTGAATTTGGTTTGGGAGGGAAGTATAAGGAGGAATTAAGGATGACTTCTAAATGGAGGAATGTAGATAGAATGACAATAGCCTTAGGTTTGTGTGTTTGTAGTTGAAAGAACAACCAAAGACTATACTGATAAATGGATTAATGGCTGCCTGGAGAGATGTCTCTAGTGGAATGACTTGGTGCCCTATTCTACTTGGCATTTTTTATTAATGTCTTGGATAAAAATATAGGAATGTTCATCAAATTTTCAGTTGATAATGTATTAGACGACAGAACTGGAATCTATAAAGGTAGCTACTGGATAAAATGATGGTCTCACACTAAAAAGATGAAATTTAATAGACATAAATATATAACACTTGCTTAGGTTCCAAAAAAAAATCAACTATGCTCGTGTAGAATGTGAGAGACCTGAAAATAACAATTTATTTGAAAATGGTTAGGGATTCTTAGCTTCACGTGAACTCATTATGCACCCATATTGTGAGATGGTAGCCAGGAAAGCTAGTGTACTTTCAGGCTACAGTAATAGAAGTGGAGCAGCCAACTCTGAGATGATCAGAACATGTATAAAGAATGGCATTCAGTTCTGAGCACCACTTTTTAAGTGATAATTTGATGTACAGAGAATGAAAGTACCCTATAATATACATTTATTCGAAAAGCATTTTTTAAGCATGTGCCAAAAATTGTACAAGATGCTGGGGACCCAAAGGCAAAAAGCAAAATGTCCTCAGGCCTAAAGGAGCTTATATTCTATTGGAGAAAAGAAATATGTACATAGAAAATTAGATAGATGGATGGATGGATGGATGTATAGATAGATGTACAGGTAGAGAAAGAAGATGATAGATGTGCATATGTATACATTTATATATGCATGTATATATATATATATATATATATATATATATATATATGGGGTGTATTTATCTGTCTGTACATATATATACAGTAGATAAAAAGATACAAAATACCTATGAAAGGTGAATACTAGCTACTAAGGAAATCAAATAGGCTCTCTGTAGGAGATACCACCTCACTTGAGTTTTTAAGTCATTCTATAAGATGAAAGTGAAAAAAATACCTTCCAACATGATGAGAACCTATGCAAAGGGGATAAAAAAAAATAAAACATATTGAATGTTCCTTTAAGGAAACAAACAGTCTACAAACTGATTTGCTGGAATGATCAGGATGAAAAGTAATGTGCAGTAAGCAAGGAAAGGCATCCTGGAACCAGACTGAAAAGGACTTTAAAAGCCAAATATTGGAATTTCTCTTTTATCCTTGAGGCAAAGTGGAGACACTGGAGATCTTCAGGCAGGGGAGTGACATGATCAGATATGTGCTTTGAAATATCAATTTGGCATCTGTGTGAAGAATGAATGAGAGAGGTGAGAGACAATGCAGGGAGATGAATTGAAAGACTAAAGCAATAGTCCGGTTGAGAGGTGAGAAGGAGCAGAACCAGAATGCTTGGTGATTGGCTGAGTGGAAAGATGGAACAGATGTGAAATATATTGTGGAAGTTAAATACACAACATTTGGCAACTGGTCTGAGGGGAGGCAATATCCAAGATGGCACTCTTCGAGATAAGGAAATATAAGGACATTTGAAAGCTTGGGGGATATTTTTCACCTTGAAAAATAGAAGGCTTAAGAAGAGGGATAGAGAGGGAAGCCTGTCATGAACGGTTTTCAAATACTTGAATCTAAAGCACAAAATTTTATTTTGTGAGAGATCAGTGTATCAAAAGGGCAAACCAGTGTCATAGTCCAAGGTTCCAGGTCAAATTAGAAGAAACAAACTATGCACAGAGTCCAAGTAGGGGTGGCAGAATTCCTGCAAAGTCCAGAGACCCAAATCAAATAGGATGGCATGGCAAAAGCAGGGTTTGAATATTTTGGGGAGTTCAAGGTGGAGCAAGGGTTTGAGTTAAGAGATGGAAAACACAGGCACTTAGTCAGGCACTCTGGGGAGTCTTCACAGTTCCAGCACAGAAGAGAAAAAAGAAAGGCAAGCCAAGAGTGGCTAAGGTTTTGAAGCAGAGAAAAAGGAAATAAGGAAGTTCACACCCAATGTTCTCTTTCTTCCCAGAAGGGAAATCAGGTTATTTTCTGATTGTAAGGAAGGGCGGGAAAGATTCAGAGATAGAAGACAATTGAAAAGTTGAGCTGGATTGAAGTATCTGTGGTTGGGAGAATTCATAAAAAGAGAGATTCCCCTTCCTAAGTAGCCTTATGGTCCTAGTTTGTTCTCACTCCCTTCCCTCTCCTTCTCTTTTAAGGTTTGGAGATGTCTCTCTGCAAGAAAGCATTAATCAGGAAAACTTTGAACTCCTCAAGGAATATTGCCAATTGTTTACTGAAAAGATGCCTCCTGATTGTAAGTATGGGCCTTCTTAAAGATTTGGACAAAAGAAGCATAAGGTAGAGGAAGAGAGGGGAAGGTGATTGCCTCCATTGACTTTCTGAGCCAGAGCTGCTGATTTATAAGGTGGCATTAGGGAGATCTGTGGAGTTACTACGACCTCTTTGAGTTCTTCTTGAATATAATATCTTGTATGTTTGCTGTGGCCCTGGCTAAACATCAAAAGTGAAAGATAAGTAAGGAATAACTACAAATCCAAATGAGAGTTTATCAGAGCTTGTTTATATTAGATATTTCAAATATGGTTAGTGTTTCTAGCTTGTAATAGACACAACAGAAATATGGGTTGAGAACAAATATGGATAGGAAGAAAAATATATAAAATAATAGGAATGAATAAAAACACTTAAAAATTAAAAAAAAAAATAAAAACATTCCCAAATTTTATATCCTCTCAAGCACATTATGTAACGACAATCATGACAATGTGAGGCAAGTGAGACATTGGCTTCAGGTTCACAAAGCTTAGGGGTTAGTAAGTCAATAAACATTTCTTAAGCACCTACTATGTGCCACATAGGCAATGGATAGATTGCTGGGCCTGGACCCGAGAAGACATCTTCCAGAGTTCAATGTAGTCTCAGACACTAGCTACATGACCCTAGGCAAGTCACTTAACCTTGTTTGCCTCAGTTTCCTTATCTATAAAATGAAAAAGGAGCCACAGAAGGAAATGGCGACCCACTCCAGTATCTTTGCCAAGAAAACCCCCATTAAGGTCATGAAGAATCAGATAAGACTGAAAATGACTCAACAACAACAAAGAAAGGGAAAAAACAACTCTTGCCCTCAATGAGGGAGACATCACATAGAAAGAAGCTGAAAAGGAAAGGGAGGTGATACCAGGATGATGTCCAGAGCAACGCGGCTGGGGGAGAAATGAAGCGATTGTTGCCCTTGGTGTCCTCGTTAAATAGAAGACGTGGGAGGCACCCCCATTATCCGCCCTACAACCTCTCCAGTTGGAGGGAAGGAGGAGCATCAAAGGTATTTAGATGGTGGGAGTTTCACAGCTGATGTATTCAGGTCTTGTAGGATAAGGAGATTCTGAAGAAATCCAGGGGAGTGCAACCAGGTGGGAAATAAAGGGTGCAAAAAATAGGTAAAATGCTACCCTCTAAATAAATAGGTAAAATACTCTCCCCAGCACACCATGCCATTGTGATGGAGCAATAATTAAGTATTATTCCCTTAGCTCATTATTATTTAGTGGAAAGAGGCCTGGATTTCTTTTTTTTTTTAATTAGAAAAGCTGGATTCAAATCTTGACTCTGCCACTTCTTACCTCTGTGACCTCGTACAAGTCACTTAATTTCCCTGAGCCTCAGTTTCTTGTCTATAAAATGGAAATGTTGTAGTAAATGACTGCTGGGGTCCCTTCTCCATCTAGAACTATGATCCACTTCTGGAGACAAATCTTTTCACCTATAAAATGAGTTGGGGGCAGAGGGATGGTGGGATTAGATAACCCCTAAAGTTTCTCCTAGCTCTAAAATCTTATGACTTATAAAACGCATAAATCCCCAGAAAGAAGAAAAAAAAGTCACTTTATCTTGACATCATTCAGCTTTTTTCTTGCTGTCACATGGCAATTGATACTTGAAGCAATTCAGTAGCAATGAGCCAAGTATTGATTTGGAATTCACCCAGATGCAGCACACAGTCCTCTTATGTGGAAATGTACCCAGGGAGCAGAAATTAGGCCTTTAGAAAGTACAGAAAACATGTGTTGCTTTAGGATAGAAGCTGGAGCTGCAATCTGTTTGTCATCATAAAGTACATTATTTTGTTTAGCTTGAATATTTTTTTCAAGGGAAGGAGCTTTCATTCAGTCAACAAAAGCTTATTGACCTGCTACGGTTTTAAGGAGCACCTCTTATGCTCACAAAGCAACCCAATGTACTGTATTGAGTGCTTTAGGTGAGGTCGGGAAGTTATGTGTGTCCATATGATAGGTATCTTTATGGACAAGGCCCTTAACTTCTTTCATCCTCAATTTCTTCATCTATAAAATGGGCACAGTCATTGCTGCCACTTGGAGAGTTATTGTGAGGGTCAAATGGGATGATACATGTAAAGCATTTTCAAAACCTTCAACGGCTGCATAAATGTCAGGTATTATGCCAGATGCTTTACCAGATGTAAGGCAGACTATGATCTGTAAATAAGAGCTACAAAAAGAAGTATTTTATCAGTATTGAGAGAAAATTCATTCAAAACTAGGGCAATCAAAGAAGTCTTCTTGGAAGAGGAAGCTCTTGCATTATTTCGTTCAATTCTCAGAACACTAGCATGAAGTAGGTAATAGTTCACATTTATGTACTGCTTCAAAGTTTACAAAGCTCTTAGCTCATGACCAACCCAGTAAGGTGGTTAGTAAGGGAATGATAATCCTCATTTTCCATTTAACCCAATGTCTAGTGCTCCACTAAAACTCTGGGACCCACAAAAATGAGATCTATTATCAGATGTTGAACCCAAAGGGTTATATTCTCTTTTGGCTCATAAGCCAATATTTTGAATTTACTTCTGGAAATTTTCAGATCGACTCATGTCTATATTTCCACAAATATGGTTGATAAGGTCCCTAGCTGCCAGATAAGCACTTAAGGTAACAAATATATATTGGGAAAAGGACATTCTTCATTTCACACTGCAGAAAATGCCAGGGAGGCAAAGAACTCACAGGAGACCATGAATAGATACAGAAAACATATAAATAGCCTCATAAACTCCCCTCAAGAGGAAATTAAACTCTGGGGTGACAGTGGATGTAACTTGCCATTCCACCTACCCTCTCTCCCACAGGGCTGTAGGTAATCTCTCCTAGGTTTATACTTCTACCCTATGGTTTAGGCATTCCATGGAAGGCAGACAATCTAAGTCTGCTAAAGTTGCAACACCACTCCCAAAAGAACTTCACTCTTTAAATACAATAAGAAGTCAGTCTGTTGGCTGACTTTTACAGGCCTTTTCAAAAAGGTAACTATCCTCTCTATCCTCTGAGCAAAAGGATAGAGGTAGTTCCAAGAAACAGAAGGGTAAAGGGAATGTTTTCTTAGGAGAGAGGAAATCATATATTTGGAGGAAAAAGAGAGTGAGACAATGGAGAGAGAAATAATTGAAGTCTAAAGAAAAGGAATAATGAATTAAACAAAGACTTAGGATGACAGTGAAGGTGGGAAAATGAACTGGGAGAAGTATAGATGGAATGAGGTTAGAATTGGTGAGGAGAAAGAATACCCCTTCCTCTGAGATTGCAAAGAAGAACACTATAGTAGGGAGAGACAGAGAAATTTTGAAGTGTGGAGGAGGAGGAGTTTAGCAAGCTCATGGGATGATTTTGATTTTCTCAGCAAATTAAGAAGTGAGATATCTGCTGAGAATAAGGGGGCCACATTTGGGGCTGGGGACTTGCCATTAGAAAAATCTTCGGAATAAAGGAAGTAGAGAAATTGTAAAGAGAGTTGAGATTTGAATACAAGCATCTTGTTCAGTGAGGTGCTTAGCACAGAGTATGGAACAGAGTAGACTCTTAATAAAGGTTTCTTGATTGATTGAGGCAATATTTTTTGATGGAAAAACACTGAATTTAAAGTATGAGAATATGAGTTTTGAGTCCTGGTTCCTTTGGTTGCTTCTGGAGTGAACTTAGAAGATATTACTCAATCACCAAACATTTATTAACACCTACTAGGTAAGAGTCATTCTGCTAAGTATTGGGGATAAAAAGCCAAAATTGAACCAATGCCTGACCTTGAGGAGCTTGCAGTGTGTCTGGAGAGAAAAACTGTGCATAAACAAGCATATGAAAAAATCAGTATGAAGGGCAGGGGAAAAACAAAACAGGAGGGATTAGGAAAGGCCTGATGTAGGAAATATTGCTTAAGCATAGTTCTAAAGGAAATAAGGGATTCTAAGAGATAGAGGTGAAGTATAGTGACTGAAGATGGAGTGTCATGAGAGAAACAGAAAGAAGGTCAGTTTGCCCTCACACTGTGATGCAGGAAAGGGAAAAATGTATAATAAAATTAGAAAGCCAAAGGGGGTACTTGGATTGTATCCTAGGGACATTAGGGAGCCATTGGACTTTATTGAGTAGAGGAATGATATGGTCAGACCTGCACTTTTGGAAAATCAATTTGGCATCTGGGTGAAGGATGGATAGGAGAGGAAAGAGGCTTGAGGCAGGGAGATCAATTAGGAGCCTTTTGCAATAATCCAGGCAAGGAGTGATGAAGGCCTGAATTAGGGTGGTAGCCATGGAAGTGGTAAGAAAGGGACAGATTTGAGAGATACTGAAGAGAGAGTAATGACAGGATTTGGTAACTGTTTTTATGTATGAGATGAGGGAGAGGGAGATGTCAGGGATAATGCTGAGGTTGTGAATCTGGGTAATTGAAAGGATAATGGTACCCTTGAGAAAAAAATATAGAGTTTGGAAGGTGGGATGGATTTGGAGGACAATATAGCTTAGATTCTCAGTGCCTCAGTTTCCTCACATTTAAAACACAGGCACTGGTCCAGATGGAGCTCTAGGGTCCCTTCAATCTGTATCTATGTTTCTTTGGCCGAAGTGAGGTAAAATAGCATGAGGAAATTCAGTAGCCTGAATTTGAGGTGATTTCCTTTCAGGATTTCATCTAACATATAGTGTGTCCCAAAACAAAACTTGCCTTTAAAGCAGCTCTGCCTGCATGTCCATACACATAGATGATTTAGAATGCTTTGCATTTAGATTTTAATTATAATTGGCTATTTGCCCTCAACACTAAATATTAATTTTTAATAGCAAAAAGAAATTTACTGTATGGAAAATCTTTGACTGCTTCCTTGCCTCTAAGTCGTCTTGCCTATTCTGAACAAAAGAATGAAAATGGACTGAACGCTGTTCATTTTCTCATAAACTTAAATATTCTTTCCCCCTCCTTTGGTTGCCATGGTGAGGAGGGGGG